AAATTGTCCATTAAAGGGAATTTTTTTTTACAGTTAGAAATAAAATTTGGTGACATTGCCCAAAAGAAAGGTGGAAAAATGTTTTCATCATTTTGGAAGAAAAAGTACACGTGTGAGACAAAACAAGAAAAACATTTGCCAAGAAAAAAAACCTATCAAACACTAGAAAAGTAATTTCCATTTTCTATCGAATTGTTATCCTATCAAACAGGGCCTTAGTTCAAGGAATGGTGGAATTGAAGAAATATTTGAAAACATACGTCTGTTCGGGAGGCATTTGTATCTAATTTTTAGAAGAAATCATGCCGTTATATATGGTACCATGTCAATGAATCAGAGCTACAATGTTTGACTAAAATGATTGAAATTAACAATGTGCCCCCATTTAATTTAACAAAAGGGTTTTTTGGGCATAAAAGTGAATTTTGTGTTAGTAATTGCTGAACAACGAGTCCCACTGATATATCAATATTGCGGCTACTGCTCTTGTAATGGGCAAATTTTTACTAAAAATTGGCAAAAAATGTGGAACAAGCGAGGACATAGAAACAATATCATAATAATTACATAATTATACTAAAGAAAAGACAAGAGTGGTATATTAGCGAGATTGGTCAAACTCGTTTTTATTGGTTAGCTTTGTCCAGAGGTACTTTCCTCGCATAGAAATGAAAGGTTGGGACCAATACTGCAATAAATGAAACATTAGAGTAAAATATGCAACAAATTGAAATATTTGGGACCGTGGTTGCAATTATCCAAAAAAATATTTACGAAGGCACTTTACGAAATATTTTTGTCAATTAGAAAAATACTAGGGCATAGCTTATCAACAATCCCTGTCAACACTCCCCCCCTCTCCCCTGCTCCATCTTCCTCAGTTTTAACTCCCTGAGAAGGTATTTTTGTTCATGTTTAGTTTAATTATCGAAATCTAATTACAATCAGCTGTTTATTCACACGCACAAACACTGCATGTAAGTAATCCTATGTGTTGTGCCTATGTATGCACGTCTTTTTGTGTTTTTCAGCTCTTGAACTTTTCATTTTTTTGTCTGAGATATATGGTAATGTGGGGTGGGGTGGGGTGGGGTGGGTGAGTGGGTGGGTTTCACGGTTTGTTGAACATGATGTATTGCTAAAAGAGGGAAACCGTTAGACTTCTTGTTAGTTTGATCTTGATTAATTAAGTGTTTTTTCCCCTTATTATATCAACGGCGTACATGTTAACTACAAATGCAGTTATTGAGATACATAGGATACACATAAAAAAGTATTTTTTTTATTTGAACAGAAAAATAAACTGGATAAAAAATGCATGTACCCTGCCACTTAATGAATTTAATTCCCACTGTTACAATAAATGTAGTATATTTTTTGTTGCTTGCGAAAAATTTGTCCACATTCGAGCTTGTCAAATTGGGAAAGAAATCCATTTTTCCAACATTGAAGAAGATGAAGTGGAGACTTGTTACCTATAATTTATTTGAAGTTAATAATGAATTTGGAACTAGTTGTGGGCTTATATAGGAGTAAGAAAAAGGACAGAGAGAATTTATGTTGGACAAAATTTTCACAGATAATGAAAATTTACAGTTATACTCTATTTTTGTTATAAATAACTATTCTTGAGTTCACAGACCATCCTGAATTCATTAAAGGTTCTAAAAACAGTGGCAAGTGGTAATGATGATGTGCAATCTAGTCTCGAGAATCTTTACCTATGTGCATACTGCATAGCAATGAGGGACTATGAATGCTTTTAAAAATTACGAAAGGACAAAAGGCTGTAATTTAAGGGTCTGATTTCTCACTGAGCATTGCCAAGGTGCAATTGAGTTTGATGGGAGTTCTAGATGTTATTGGTGTACTAGGAGTTTTAATTTTGATTCTTGCATTTTTATCTTGACTTTGTTATTTATTTCGAGCACCTAATTGTAGGGGCAGTAGGGCTATTTTTGCAATGTTCTCATTTGTGTGTCAATAAGGCTGTTAGATAGGTATGTGATCCGTGAATGTGGGCTTCTTTTTTGTGATAT